ATAGAAAACCTGAACAGACCTATAACCAGTAAGGAGATTGAAACAGTCTTCAAAAATCCCCCAACACGCCTGGGTGGCTGGCTCAGTCATTAAGTGTCTGCCTTCAGCTCAGGTCATGATCTCAAAATCTTGGGATCAAGTCCCACTTGGGGCTTCCCTCGGGAAACCTGTTTGTCTCTCTCCCACTTCCCCTGCTTGTGTTTCCTTTCTCACTGTGTTTCTCTCTGTTAAATAAGTAAAATCTTAAAACAAACAAACAAACAAACAAACCTCCCAACAAACAAAGGCCCAGGGCCAGATAGCTTCCCAGGGGAATTCTACCAAACATTTAAAGAAGAATTAATTCCTATTCTCCTGAAATTGTTCCAAAAAATAGAAATGGAAAGAAAACTTCCAAACTCATTTTATGAGGCCAGCATTACCTTGACCCCAAAACCAAAAAAAGACCCCGTCAAAAAGGAGAATTACAGGGGCGCCTGGGTGGCTCAGTGGGTTAAAGCCTCTGCCTTCGGTTCAGGTCATGATCTCAGGTCCTGGGATCGAGCCCTGCATCGGGCTCTCTGCTCAGCAGGGAGCCTGCTTCCTCCTCTCTCTCTGCCTGCCTCTCTGCCTACTTGTGATCTCTGTCAAATAAATAAATAAAAAATCTTTAAAAAAAAAAAAAAGAATTACAGACCAATATCCTTGATGAAACTAGATGCAAAAATTCTCACCAAAATACTAGCCAATAGGTTCCAACAGTACATTAAAAGGATTATTCACCATGACCAAGTGGGATTTATTCCTGGGTTGCAAGATTGGTTCAACATCCACAAATCAATCAGTATGATATTTTTAATGTCATTAATAAAAGAAAAAACAAGAACCATATGATCCTCTCAATAGATGCTGAAAAAGCATTTGACAAAGTACAGCATCCCTTCCTGATCAAAATTCTTCATAGTGTAGGCACAGAGAGTACATACTTCAATATCATCAAAGCCATCTTTGAAAAACCCACAGTGAATATCATTCTCAATGGGGAAAACCTGAGAGCTTTTCCGCTAAGGTCAGGAACACAGAGGGATGTCCACTATCACCCCTGCTATTCAACATAGTACTAGAAGTCCTAGGCTCAGCAATCAGACACCACCAACAACAAAAACAAAAGGCATCCGAATCATCAAAGAAGTCAAACTCACTCTTTGCAGGTGACACGATACTTTATGTGGAAAACCCAAAAGATTCCACCCCAAAACTGCTAGAAGTCATACAGGAATTCAGTAAAGTATCAGGATATAAAATCAATGCACAGAAATCAGTTGCACTTCAATAAAACAAAAACAAGACAGAAGAAAGAGAAATTAAGGATTCAATCCCATTTATAATTGCACCAAAACCATAACATACCTAGGAATAAATCTATCCAAAGAGACAAAGGATCAGTACTCAGAAACTATAGAACATTCATGGAAGAAACTGAGGAAGACACAAAGAAATGGAAAAACATTCCATGGTCATGGACTGGAAGAACAAATCTTGTGAAAATGTCTATGCTACGTAGAACAATCTACACATTCAATGCAATCCCTATTAAAATACCATCAACTTTTTTTTCACAGAAATGGAACAAATAATCTTAAAATTTGCATAGAATCAGAAAAGACTCTGAATAGCCACAGCAATGTTGAAAAAGAAAACCAAAGCTCGTGGCATCATAATTCCAGACTTCAAGCTCTATTACAAAGCTGTAATCATCAAGACAGTATGGTACTGGCACGATAAACAGACACATAGATTAATGCAACAGAATAGAGAACTCAGAAATGGACCCTCAACTCTATGGTCAACCTATCTTTGACAAAGCAGGGAAGAGTATCCAATGAAAAAAGACAGCCTCTTCAACAAATGGTGTTGGTTAAATTGGACAGCTACATACAGAAGGAGGAATGTGGACCATTTCCTTACCCCACACAAAAATAGACTCAAAATGGATGAAAGACCTCAATGTGAGACAGGAATCTATCAAAATCCTTGAGAAGAGGCGCCTGGGTGGCTCAGTGGGTTAAAGCCTCTGCCTTCAGCTCGGGTCATGATTCCAGGGTCCTGGGATCGAGCCCCAAATCGGGCTCTCTGCTCAGCAGGGAGCCTGCTTCCTCCTCTCTCTCTCTGCCTGCCTCTCTGCCTACTTGTGATCTCTGACAAAAAAAAAAAAAAAAAAAAAAAAATCCTTGAGGCGAACACAGGCAGCAACTCTTCAACCTCAGCCACAGCAATTACTTCCTAGACACATCATCAAAGGCAAGAGGAGCAAGGGCAAAAATGAACTATTGGAACTTCATCTACTATTGGTAGATTCAAAAAGCAAGATAAAATGCTTTTGCACAGCAAGGGAAACAGTCAACAAAACCAAAAAACAACTAACAGAATGGGACAGAATATTTGCAAATGACATATCAGATAAAGAGCTGGTATCCAAAATCTACCAAACTCAACTTATCAAACTCAATACCCAAAGAACAAATAATCCAATCAAGAAATGGGCAGAAGACATAAACAGACATTTCTGGAAAGAAGACATCCAAATGACCAACAGACACATGAAAACATGCTCAATACTATTAGGCATCAGAGAAATACAAATAAAATCCACAATGAGATACCACCTCACACTAGTCAAAATGGCTAAAATTAACAAGCCAGGAAACAAAAGAGGGTAGCAAGGATAGGGATACGCTGTTGGTGGGAATGTAAGCTGGTGTAGCCACTCTGGAAAACAGTATGGAGGTACCTCAAAAAGTTGAAAATAGAGCTATCCTATGATCCAGCAATTGCACTACTGGGTATTTACCCCAAACATAAAAATGGACTGATCTGAAGGGGTACCTGCATCCCAATGTTTATAGCAGCAATGTCCACAATAGCCAAACTATGGAAAGAGCCCAAGTGTCCATCAATAGATGGATGAAGATATATATATATATGGCGGAATATTATGCAGCCTTTAAAAAAAAAATCTTGGGGCACCTGGGTGACTCAGTGGGTTAAGCCTCTGCCTTCAGCTCAGGTCATGATCTCAGGGTCCTGGGATCGAGTCCGGCATCAGGCTCTCTGCTCAGCGGGGAGCCTGCTTCCCCTCTCTGTCTGCCTCTCTGCCTACTTGTGATCTCTGTCAAATAAATATTTAAAAAAAAAACAAAAACAAAACAAAAAACCCCAAAATCTTGCCATTTGCAATGACATGGATGGAACTAGAGGGCATTATGCTGAGGGAAATAAGTCAATCAGAGAAAGACAATTATCATATGATCTCACTGATATGTGGAATTTGAGAAACAAGGCAGAGGATCATAGGTGAAGAGAGCAAAAAAGGAAATAAGAAGGGAGACAAACCATAAAAGACTCTTAATCTCAGGAACAAACTGAGGGTTGCTGGAGTGAAGGGGGATGGGAGGGATGGGGTGGCTGGGTGATGGACACTGGGGAGGGTATGTGTTGTGGTGAGCACTGTGTATTGTGTTATGCCTGATGAATCATATCTTAAAAAATGGGGGTGCCGTGGGTGGCTCAGTTGGTTAAGCCACTGCTTTTGGCTCAGGTCATGATCCCAGAGTCCCAGGATCGAGTCCCACACAGGGTTCCCAGCTCCGTGGGGAGTCTGCTTCTCCCTCTGACCTTCTCTCCTTTCATGTTCTCTCACTCTGTCTCAAATAAATAAATAAAATCTTTAAAAAAAGACTGATGAATCACAGACCTGTACCCCTGAAACAAATAATACATTATATGTTAATAATAAAAAATAAAATAAAGGTCAAGTTTAACGTATGTTTGTTTTTTTTTTTTTTTAAGATTTTATTTATTTATTTAACACAGAGAGAGATCACAAGTAGGCAGAGAGGTAGGCAGAGAGAGAGGAGGAAGCAGGCTTCCCGCCGAACAGAAAGCCCGATGCGGGGCTTGATCCCAGGACCCTGAGATCATGACCTGAGCCGAAGGCAGAGGCTTAACCCACTGAGCCACCCGGCGCCCCTAACGTATGTATTTTATTTTCAACTTATGCTCGGAGTTCACCATAGAATGGATTCAGTTATCCACACAGAGAGAGCATACATGCAAAATGTTAAAAATGGGTGAAACTACTATAATGAACATTCACTGTACCGGATGTTCAACAAATTTTGTTCAAAGTTTCAGATTTTACAGAAGAAAAATTGAGGGGATAAACCACATTCAGTCCAAACATCCCGTTAAGGGTAAAGTCAGTTATTCTGGAACTAGTGCCACAAGGCCCCACCTTTTTCTCCTGGAGGCCCTTCTTGTGATGGTTTGTGGGGGATGCACGGGCCCAGGACGTTCAGAGCACAAGACAGCGGAGTATTCTTGCTTTCATTTAGAAGAATGACTTATGGCCCGTACATGTCCGTTCTTATACACAGAAACACACACACCCTTGAACCTAAGTCTTTCTTTCTACCTATAGGTAACGTTCAAAAAGAAAAACAGGGGGCGCCTGGGTGGCTCAGTCCTTAAACGTCTGCCTTATGCTCAGGTCATGATCCCAGAGATCGAGTCTGGCGTAGGGCTCCCCGCTAGGTGGGGCGCCTGCTTCTCCCTCTGCCTGCTGCTCCCCCTGCTTGTGTTCTCTTTCTGGCTGTCTCTGTCAAATAAGTACATAAAATCTTTTTTTAAAATTAATTTATTTTTTTAATTTGACAGACAGAGATCACAAGTAGGCAGAGAGAGAGAGAGAGGAAAGGGCTCAGTCTCCCCGCTGAGCAGAGAGATCGATGCGGGGCTCGATCCCAGGACCCTGAGATCATGACCTGAGCCAAAGGCAGAGGCTTTAATCCACTGAGCCACACAGGCGCCCCTAAACACACAAAATCTTAAAATAAAAAAAAAAAGGAAGAAGAAAAGAAAAAGAAAAACAGACAATGCCAAGGCCAAACGCTAGCAAGAAACTTTCTCTTGCCTATGAGTAGAGGAAAGTCCCGCTGAACCAAGGCTCCGCCGGTGCTCACCACAAGGGTCAGGAGTGCCAGCGTCGGGAGAACCGCAGGGCACCGGGTCGGGACAACGTCCCCGGCTCGTCGGAAATTCACTTCCTCCCGGAAAAGAGTCGCAACCGTTACCTGAGGCGTCTGAACCGGGAGGCACCGTGGCCGAAAACACTCCGCAGGCGCGCCCTCACCTCACCTCCCGGACCGGCCCAACGCGGGCACCAGCGACCGCGAAGGGCACGAGCTCAAGGACCCGGCCCCTCTCAAGAGGCCGCTTGGAGACCGGGTCGCACCTGTGTTTTAACGCCCTCCTCGCATTCGGGCCTCCTTTTCACGCGGCCTAGCGGAACACAGGTTCAGGCCCGCGACGACTAACCTGAGTCGCCCAAGGTAACGCTGAGCAACGCCGCAAACACCTCCGCGCGCGAGTGACGCCACTTCCGCTTCCTGCCTCGCGCCGTAAGGGGGCGGGGCTCCAACTAGGACCGCAGGACTCGTTGGACCGCTTCTTGCTGGGAACCCGTAGTTTCCTCTCCAGTGGATGCTGAGGATCCTGGAGTTGGGCCAGCGTGGGGACAGAGGGCAGGGACAGACCCGAGAGACTAGATGGGGCTCGAGCCAGGTCTGTGCTGTGCTTGGAAGTCAGGAGGGCAAGACTGGGCATGGGGCGGGGTCTGCCCTCAGAGGATGCTTTCTTAACAAGTAATTTTGAGGGTTCCCGCCTTACCCTAAAAATTCTCTTCAAACTCTAGATTCCAACAGATTTCCTAATTTTCTTCTAGATGCATTGTTTTTAGTGACATTTTAAGAATGTAGTTTCATGGGATAGCGGTGTGGGATAGTAGATCCATTTTTCCTTTCCTTTTTTTGAGTTTTTTTTTTTTTAAGATTTTATTTATTTGAGAGAGACAGATCACAAGTAGGCAGAGAGTCAGAGAGAGAGGGAGGAGCAGGCTTCCTGCCCATCAGACAACCCAAAAGATAGTAAAAAAAAAAAAAAAAAAAAAAATTTTGATAGAAATGAGTCTGCAGTGAGGAGTGTATTTGTCAGCATTTCTCCTCCATTTGCAGGGATCCTTTCACTTTCTCCATTGCATTCCAACCTGCCAATCAATGTTCAGCAACAGGTGCACGGGGTAAGAAGTAACAGGGAATTATGCCCCACCAAGGATAGCGCTCTCTCTCTCTTTTAAAGATTTTGTTTATTTATTTGATAGAGAGAGAGGTGGGGAGCACAAGTGGCAGGCAGAGGGAGAGGGAGAAGCAGGCTCTCTGTCGATCAGGGAGCCTGATGTGGGCCCTGATCCCAGGATCTAGGATCATGACCCAAGCTGAAGGCAGCTGCTTAACCGACTGAGCTCTTGGAGCCCAAGGACAGCTCTTGATGGAGAGGTGTGAAGTATACCGTCTTCATCATCAATTAGCTGGGATAATTCTTGTATTTCTGTTTTGCACCACTTTCCAATATTTCCCCACAGGATAAAAACTGTTCAATTGCGGTGGGAGCTGACTTAAGGCACATTTTATTGGATGTACTTTCTTCCCTGTTTCACTTCCCCTCTCCCTAACCAATGTCCTTCTTCCTTGCTTCTTCCAGTAATGTGCATGCCAATGAATCACTGGCTCCGTGTCTTCTTCTGAGGAACCCAAATGGAGTGATGTAGTAAAGATTGTGATGGGTATTAAAACAATTATCAGGGATGGAACTAATAACTTTTGGGACAAAATCAACCTGAACAAAAAACAAGTATTCAATATATAATTAGATCTTCAAATTACTGAAAAAAAGGCATAATATTTCAGCAATATGGGGTGGCTTAAATTCATTTTCAGTCCATCAAGTTTCAAGCAATGTTTAATTATTGTCTATGTGTACAAATTGAAGAGGGTACCAAAGAGGTAAATATGATTGCAATACAGAATTGTGAGCATAATAATGTTGGTGTGTAATAGAACCTGTTGAAAAGAAAGGTAAAAGTTTATGACTTAAGTAATTCCAGAGAAAACATTTACTTAATGAAATTATTGAGATATAATTTGTATACCATAAAATCCATTCAAAATGTAAATTCAGTAATTTTAGTAAACTTATAGAATTATGTGCCCATTACCACAATGCAATTTTAGAACATTTCTATCACTCCAAAATTTCCCTTGTCTCCAGTTGCAGTTACTGTCCACTCTCACCTCAGTCTTAGGTAACACCTTATCTGCTTCCTGTCTCTATAAATTGGCTTTCTCTAGATATTTTATGTAAATGTAATCATACGATATATGGTCTTTTTTTAAAAAAATTTTATTTATTTATTTGACAGAGAGAGGTCACAAGTAGATGGAGAGGCAGGCAGAGAGAGAGAGAGAGAGAGATCACTAGTATGTCGGGAGGCAGGCAGAGAGAGAGGGGGAAACAGGCTCCCTGCTGAGCAGAGAGCCCGATGTGGGGCTTGATCCCAGGACCCTAAGATCATGACCTGAGCAGAAGGCAGAAGCTTAACCCACTGAGCCACCCCGGCGCCCCAAAAACTTTTTTAAAAAAGATTTTTATTTATTCATTTAATTGATGGGGAGAGAGAGACAGCGAGAGAGGAGAGTGGATATACACAAGCAAGGAGAGTGGCAGAGGGAGAAGCAGGCTTCCCACTGAGCAGGGAGCCCGATGCGGGGCTCAATCCCAGGACCCTGGGATCATGACCTGAGCTGAAGGCCGACACCTAATGACTGAGCCATCCAGGTACCACTCATCAAAAACTTCTAATGGGACAATACACTTGAGCACTGAGTAACAAATAATCAGTAGAAATTTAACTGAAGAATGGTTTGGGTAGGAAGTAGAGAGAAGAATCGGAACTAGAGGAGAAAGGAACCATGTACACATAAACATGGAAAATTCAAGACTAAGGCATTTCAGGATGATATATGGAACTGTTGACTGAGTTATTAGAAATAAACCTAGAGGGGCACCTGGGTGGCTCAGTGGGTTAAGCCTCTGCTTTCAGCTCAGGTCATGATCCCCGGGTCCTGGGATTGAGCCCCACATTGGGCTCTCTGCTCCGAGGAGAGCCTGCTTCCTCCTCTCTCTCCCTGCCTGCCTCTCTTGCCTACTTGTAATCTCTGTCAAATAAATAAACAAAATCTTAAAAAAAAAATAAACCTAGATATGTAGATGGAGGACAGACTATTAAGAATCCAATTTGAAGGATGCCTGGATGGTTCAGTTGGTTAGGGATTGGACTCTTAATTTCGGCTGTCATGATCTCAGGGTTGTGAGATCAAGCCCTGAACTGGCTCTGCACGGGGAAAGGAGCCTGCTTGAGAGTCTTTCCCTCTGTCTTCCCTACTCCTCCCCGCCTCTGCTCTAAAAAGAGAGAGAATCTAATTTGATCTATTAAAGATTTTGAAAGCAGTGGAACACTAGGGCCATGCTGTAACCACAGATGTGTTACGAAGACTTTAGGGTTACTCTGAGTGGGAGAAACTGGAGGCAGAAGGAATATTTAGGAGACCGTTGAAGTAGTTGAGGGGAAAAGATGATGGGGACCTGACCTAACCAGTGGCAGTAAGATGGGAAGATTTTGGAAGAAAGATATATTAATTTCCTTTTGAAGCTATAACACACTGCCATAAGTCTAGTGGCTTAAAATGACACAAATTTATTATTTTACGTTTCTGGAAGTCAGAAGTCTAAAATGCATAAGCAGGGCTACTTTCTTTCTGGAGGTGCTTGAGGAAATCTGTTTACTTGCTCTTTCCAAATTCTAGAGACCTCAACCATTAGTGGGAGTTTTGGTATTCAGGTATAAGACTACAAAGCCTCAACAGAGCTCAAGAACAAGGAGGGACATTTTGAGAGGGCAGACCTATGCCCAGGTGGTCGGCTAAACATAGTCCCAGCCACACACCTGTAAACAGTTATATCCTCATGTGGACTTGGCTATAGCCCCATTTGGCTTTGGCACCATCCCTCAGCCCCCAGAAGGAGACACATCCACCCATACCTTTCAGGTTAACAGGCTGCTGACCTCACTCTGAGATGCAGACTATGAGCAGCCAGCCTGTGATCCAACTCCAGTCTCTCTGATCTGTGGTCTTCTGCACATAAGAATCCAGAAGGACATGTGTCCATCTGTGACTCTGGAGGCAAACCTGCTGAACTGGTCTGCCTGCAGATCTTGAAGCAGCCCACAACCCAGCTCCAAACACTCTTGAGTCCCGATGTAGGAAGAATCATGCCCACCCAGAGACCCAAGGGGAGACTCATCCATCAGTGCCCACTGAGGCAGGCCTACAGAACTCAGACATGGATGTGGACCCTAACGCAGTTCTAGGACATGGCTCCAGCCCCTCTCAGCTGTGTTATGCGGCCATTCATGCACGTCTAGTGAGAGAGCCATACTTTCCCACACAACTAGGAAAATAGCTCTGCCAACTGCGGATCCTGACGAGAATCCTTGTCCTAGGGCCAGCCCTACTAACCAAGGTCCTGGAGGTGGTCCTGTCCACCCAGGGACCAGACAAGCTTTACTGCCCTACTAACAGGATTTTCACACAGACTGTTACAGATCCAGGAGCAGCTGTATTACATGGCTCCAACCCAACTCAACTATGATCCTAGAAGCAAACCACCAGGACTGAAACCCAGCAGGAGAAGGTCTTTGAGTGAAAGCAGCTTCTAAAGACTGAAAGAAGTGTTTGCTCCTTCAAATGCACAGACCCTAATACCAATACCACATGTCTGCATACTCTACTAGCTGACCTGTAAAGGATGTCAAGCTGAATACCTACTGCGGTTACATGCAACAAATATCACCTACCATTATATATTTACCATGAAATATTAAAACATATAAGCCTACCATAATCAAGAGTGAGATATGTTTATATATAAATACATTACTAGTACACAAGAGTTCTAGAAACTGATACAGGTATTTATAAGAATTGCTTTTTAGGGGCGCCTGGGTGGCTCAGTGGGTTAAAGCCTCTGCCTTCGGCTCAGGTCATGATCCCAGGGTCCTGGGATCGAGCCCCGCATCGGGCTCTCTGCTCAGCAAGGAGCCTGCTTCCCTTCCTCTCTCTCTGCCTGCCTCTCTGCCTACTTGTGATCTCTGTCTGTCAAATAAATAAATAAATAAAATCTTTAAAAAAATTGCTTTTTAAATACAGGTGCAATTCCAATTCAGCGTGCCAGTTAATTTATCAGTAAGTGGTACTAAAACAGTTAGCCATGTTTTCTGGAGTTAAAAATGTGACTGGATCCACTACCACACACTACATGTCAAAATACATTCCATGCAAATTAGAGATTTAAGTGTTTTTAAATATATTTAAGAAGAAAATGATAAAATCCGAATACGATCTGTAGCTTGAAGAGACTTTTAAAATTAAAGCAGGATGGGCGCCTGGGTGGCTTAGTGGGTAAAAGCCTCTGCCTTTGGCTCAGGTCATGATCTCAGGGTCCTGGGATCGAGCCCATCGGGCTCTCTGCTCAGTGGGGAGCCTGCTTCCTCCTCTCTCTCTGCCTGCCTCTCTGCCTACTTGTGATTTCTGTCAAATAAATAAATAAAATCTTTAAGAAAATAAAATTAAATTAAAGCAGGAAATGCAGATAGTCTTTTTGGGGGTGCTTGGGTGGCTCAGTCGGTTAAGGGTCCACTCTTGGTTCTGGCTCAGGTTGATGATCTCAGGGTCGTGGAATCAGGCCCTCCATTGGGCTCCTTGCTGGGCAGATTTCCTGCCCAGCAAGAAGTCTGCCCAGTCTCTCCCTCTGCTCCCCATACTCTCTCATAAATAAAATCTTAAAAAAAAAAAACAAAAACACCCCTAGACTTCTTCATCTACATAACACTTACGCCTTTGTACAGATGCCCGAAGGGCAGGGTGTGAGGCATGCAGGAGGGAGAGGGCCTAGGCTGGGGCAGTTCTCAGGAGCATGACGGTCACAGTACTGCAGCCCTGGGATCCTGGCATTTTTTAGCATCTGTGAAAGCTTCCTTGTAATTCATTTCCTCTCACTACAGTATTAAGAATTACACCAAATTGAAGGGCGCTTGGGTGGCTTAGTCGTTAAGCATCTGCCTTCAGCTTAGGTCATGATCCCAGGGTTCTGGGGTAGAGCCCCACATCAGGCTCCCTGCTCAGCGGGAAGCCTGCTTCTCCCTCTCCCACTGCATGTATTCCCTCTCTCACTATCTCTCTCTCTGTCAAATAAATAAATAAATCTTAAAAAAAGAATTATATGAAATTGAAAAGATATGAATGAATATCCTAAAACAAGAAAAAGTAAGACATTACACTCTTCTTGTCACTCAGATTCCTCTGGAATAAGCAGAATTGCAGACGAATTCAATGGAATTTTTTCTGTTCAGTTATAGTATTTGTTCTATGAGAAAACCAGACTAAAATATTTTGACAACAGAAAGAATGACTCTGATAAAGAGACATCAAATGATTTGCCAAAATTTACAGATGTAATCAAGACCAGAAATAGAAATTCTAACTACCTTGTTCCCAGTCATGTACTGAGAATTCTAGACCAAACTGCCTTTTGTGGGAAGAAAAAAAAAAAAAATCTGCTGATACTGAAATTTGTGATGAAGAGTGTGACTCATCTGAATTGGCCAACCAACAAACTCAAGAGGAGAGTCCTATAGAAGTTCACACTGCTGAAGATGTTCTAACTGTTGCAGAAGTGCATGCAATTTCTGGAGATTACGATTTGGAGACAGAAAACAATTCCTCTGAGAGTCTCTAAGACCAAACTGATGAGGAGCCACCAGTTAAAGTTTGCAAAATTTGTGACAGGAGCCAAGCGTTGAATGGGCCTGCCCAGCAGAACTGGCCTTTACTGAAAGCTAATAGCAGTGATTTCTATAAATGCGAACTTTAGGGGCGCCTGGGTGGCTCTGTGGGTTAAAGCCTCTGCCTTCAGCTCAGGTCATGATCCCAGGGTCCTGGGATCGATCCCCACATCGAGCTCTCTGCTTAGCATGGAGCCTGCTTCCTTCTCCATCTCTGCCTGCCTCTCTGCCTACCTGTAATCTCTGTCTGTCAAATAAATAAATAAAATCCAAAAAAAAAAAAAAATGTGGGTCGCCTGGGTGGCTCAGTGGGTTAAAGCCTCTGCCTTCGGCTCAGGTCATGATCCCAGGGTCCTGAGATCAAGCCCCGAATCAGGCTCTCTGTTCAGCAGGGAGCCTGCTTCCTCCTCTCTCTCTCTCTGCCTGCCTCTCTGCCTACTTGTGATCTGTCTGTCAAACAAATGAATAAAATCTTTAAAAAGGTGCGAACTTTGTGAGTTCAACAGCAAATATTTTTCTGCTATAAAGCAGCATATGATGCTGAAGCACAAAGGTACTAATTCAAATGTGTTGAATATGCAAGGAAAGTTTCTCTACCAACATGCTTCTGATTAAACACATCAAACTGCATGAGGAGGATCCCTACATTTGTAAATACTGTAACTATAAAACAGCGATTTTTGAGAACCTTGGCCAGCACATTGCAGACACCCATTTTAGTGACCTTTCTTGCTGTGAGCAGTGCAATGTAGAGTTATCTTCAAGCAACGAAGGCTACCTACATTTCCAGGAGCACAGCTGTGATGAATGGTACTAGTGTCAGTTTTGTAAACATGAAACCAATGATCCAGAAGACTTGCAAAGCCATGTGGCAAATGAACATGCATGTAAATTAACTGAGTTCTAAGTATAACAATGGAGAACATGGACAGTACAGCCTCTTTAGCAAAATAATCTTTTCTAAAAAATAGATGGGGCGCCTGGGTGGCTCAGTGGGTTAAGTCTCTGCCTTTGGCTCAGGTCATGATCTCAGGGTCCTGGGATCAAGCCCTGTGCATCGAGCTCTCTGCTCAGCAGGGAGCCTGCTCCCCCCAACCCGGCCCCCCGTCTCGGCCTGCCTCTCTGCCTGTGATCTCTGTGTCAAATAAATAAAATCTTTTAAAAATATATTTTATTTATTTATTTTGAGAGAAGGCATTTTGCGGGGAGGGGCAGCAAGAGAAGGAGAGAGAGACTCTTGAGGAGATTCCCCACCGAATGCAGAGCCAGATTTAGGCTCGATCTCATGATCCTGAGATCATGTCCTGAGCCCAAATCAAGAGTTCGATATTTGACTGAGCTATCCAGGCGCCTACAAAATTCCCTTTGACAAATATAAAAACTTCTTTGTATGTCAAGTATGTGGTTTTCAGAGTAGACTCAATATGAATGCTAACAGGCATGTTGCTATTGAACATACTAAAATTTTTCCTCATGCTTGTGATAATTGTGAAAATGAGTTTTCAAGTATGCGAGAATACTGCAAACATATAAATTCACATTTACCTGAAGGGATTTATTTATGTCAATACTGTTAACATTCAACAGGACAAATTGAAGATCTTTTTTTTTTTTTTTAAAGATTTTTTATTTATTTATTTGGCAGACAGAGATCACAAGTAGGCAGAGAGGCAGGCAGAGAGAGAGAGGAAGGGAAGCAGGCTCCCCACTGAGCAGAGAGCCCGATGCGGGGCTCGATTCCAGGACCCTGGGATCATGACCTGAGCCGAAGGCAGAGGCTTTAACCCACTGAGCCACCCAGGCGCCCCGACAAATTGAAGATCTTAAAGTTCATTAGATTTCAAGCAATCAGCTGACTCACTTTTAACCCTAGTGACTGCTAGATGGGGTTTGGAAATGAATGAATTAATAAGTCACCTTCCCGTCCGTGAGACAAATTAATTATTTTCTTTAACTTCCATAACGTTGATGTAAATTAATAAATTTGGCATTTTTGGTGATGTTAAAGAACAATTAAATATTTGTACAATTAAAGATGAAACATTAACACAGCAAGAGAGGTTATCAATTCAGTCGATGCATAAAACACATTTGATGATGCGCAAGAACAAGACGTTTCTCTTTTTATTGATGAACAACTGACAAACAAGGATTAGTTTCAGGAGCATACAGTGATTTGACACATATACACGTCATGAAATGGTCACCACAATGTCTAGTTTACAGCTGTTACCATACAAAGAATGGTGAAATGTTACATTGACTGTATTCCATATGCGGGTCCATGACATCTCCTTACTTATTTTACAGCCGGAAGACTGTACTTCTTAATCTCCTTCACATACTTCGTCCATTACGCCCCCACTTCCCTCCCCTAAGTCCTGAATAGATGGGATCACCCAATCGTGTTAAAAAAGATCTCTATTTACTGCAAAAACGCCACCCAATAACACTCAAAATAAAGGCCTAAAAATGGGATGGACCGCTGGGTTCTCGCGCTTATCGATAAGGAACGACGACCGTACAGGCTCTAGGAATTGCGGGGAGGGAGACACGAAACCTTTTCACTGAGCAGGCCGTTGGGTTTGCCTAGGGGTGTCCTCCCACCGCGCAAACTGCAGCTGGGGCTCGCCCCACGCCACCCCGGCCCACCCCGCGCACGGGTCCCGCCGTCCGCCCGCAGCCGCGCCCACTTACCTGGTTCCAGCCCCCGCCGTGTCCTCCCGGCCGCATTCCCGCCTCAAACGTAGCCGCAGCCCAACCCGCCATTCAGCTGGCGAATGAGGGAGCCACAGTTCTGCGGTCTGAAGTAGAAGCCCCGCCCCTCGAGCCCCCCCCCCCGGCAGGAAGCGGAAGTTGCGTCACACGCCCGCCGGGGTCTCTTCCGGCTACCTACTGTGGGCCGCGTTCAGCCCTTGGGGACGGTAGTGGTCAGCTGTGGGTTGGCTGTGGTAAGGGTGGCGTGAACGGGAGTGAAGGAGGAGGGAACGCAGGGACGGGTTTAGTCAGGGTCGCGGATGGGCCTGCTGAGGGGTGCGCATCCGCCTAGATCGGCCGAGAGGCCATTGAGGCCGGCGGTTCCCGCCCCGAGCCGCTGTGGACCTGCTGTGAGGCCGCTTCCGGGGGGTCTTTTGTATCCACTGCGCAAGCAGCCTTTGTGACTTTTCTCAAGGAGGTAAAGAATTTCAGCTGTTAGGAGTGACCCAGACTCCGCCTCCTCGGGGACCTGACTGGTGAGCATTGGGAAAGTTGGTTCACAAGGGCTTGCGTTTTCTTTTCGTGCGGAAGAGAATGTGGCTTTGTCACACTCGTCCTTTATTTTGGACACACCGTGTCTTAGTCGGAAGGTAATATGCTTTCTCGGACGTCAGTAGTGGGCATATTTCAGAAGCTAGTGATACACGCGTGCACCACAAGTGTACTACAGAGAAGCAGTTTTCACCTACCTTAACATCCTTTCCTCCTGAACCCGTCCATCCCCACCAGGTTTCAAACTAGGGGACCCCTGGAGAAAAGATTGGAGGCTTTATTACCCCACTTTTAAATAATTGAATTTCACAACTACAGGACGTGTATTTCCCCGACATTTTTGTTTCCAAAGATCTTAACCTAAAGGAAATGTAAATACTACTGCAATGAATGTGGTCGAAGTAGGTTCGCCCATTTTCGCATTTTGCATGGTTGCGCTCTCTGGATAACGACATGTATTGAGAGTAAAAAGGAAATAAATTGCAGGCGTGATACTTGACCTTTAAATACTCGGTAGTGTTGGCGCCTGGGTGGCTCAGTTGGTTGAGCGTCTGTCTTCGGTTCAGGTCATGATCCCGGGGTCCTGCGATCGAGCCCCACAGAGCAGGAGTCTCCTTCTCCCTCTGCCTCTGCCTGCTACTCCCCCTGCTTGGTCTCTCTCTCTCTCTGTCAAATAAATAAATAAAACCTTTTTAAAAAGTTAAAAAAAAAGACCGGTGATGTATTTCCTAAGTATAAGGACATTTTGCTACTAAAACGATAATACATTGATTTCACCCCAGAAAATTAAAAATGTTAACTGATACCTGCGCTGTGAAAACTAAAATCCTATACATTGTCTCAAAGTGTTTTTGAACATTTTTGGATCTAGGACTCAGTTAAGCTTTATATGACAATATATATGTTTATGTCTCTTAGTCACTTTTAAGCTAAAGCAGAGCTATTTCTTCAGAATACTGACTTGGAAGAGTCACATTTTTTTGAGAAACTCATACTTTTGATATTTGTGATTTTATTTCCATGATGTGTTTAAAAGCTTTGTTCATCTTGTAATTTTGTAATATGGTCATTGGGTCCAGTATAGAGGTTGGTAGACTTTGTGTCAGAAAAGGCCAAGGTAGTAATGTAATGGGGGGCCAGGGGTGCAAGAGCACCTGTCTCTGGGGCTCTAAAAACAGACCAGGTTCGGCCACTGGTCGCTGACAAAATCAAAGACGAGAGGGGCGCCTGGGTGGCTCAGTGGGTTAAAGCCTCTGCCTTCGGCTCAGGTCATGATCCCAGGGCCCTGGGATCGAGCCCCGCATCGGGCTCTCTGCTCAGCCGGGATCCTGCTCCCCCCCCCTCCACCCGCCAGCTTGTGATCTCTGTCTGTGAAGTAAATAAATAAAGTCTTTAAAAAAAAGAGAGAGAGAAATGAGTGGTGGTGAAACAAGGTAGAAATACATGTCAGTGAGGCCAGTACCAGGAAGAGAGGGAACTAGTGTCTCAAAGATGGTCGTCAAAGTTCTGAAAATACTTCCAGTTTTTTATAAGGCGCATGTGGGACAGAGGTCAGCGGGTACCTGCAGGTGAGCAAAGATCAGGGCCATCATTGCCTTGGAGTCAGTCACATGGGGTCTTGCTAGCTCAGGGCAGTCCTTAAAGCTTGAGCAGGAAGTTTCAGTTCCCATCAGAAATGCTTTGCCCTTTTGGACTTTTGCCTGAGTTAAGGGATGAGCTGGAAAGAAGACCTTAATCAATTGGAAAGTTTGAGGCCAAAATGGAGGTAGTTGCAGTCCTCTTTCAGTGACTACTTTATGATTTGTGGGCCAAAAGGCCTGGAATTACTCAGCTCTGCTTTTGTAGTGCACAGGCAACCATAAACCTTAATAAATGGATATGGTTTTGTTCCAGTAAAACTTGATTTCCAGAAACAGCCCTGTGTTTTATAGTTTGCCAGCTATTCAGGTCCAGAAGCTTCAAAAGATCTTTCACAGACTATCTTGTGGGTGATTTGTACTTCAGATTATGTTGCATAAAGGAGTTATAATGTGGGGCGCCTGGGTAGCTCAGTGGGTTAAACCTCTGCTTTTGGCTCAGGTCATCATCTCAGGGTCCTGGGATCGAGCCCCGCATCGGGCTCTCTGCTCAGCGGGGAGCCTGCTTCCTCCTCTCTCTCTGCCTGCCTCTCTGCCTACTTGTGATCTTTCTCTGTGTGTCAAATAAATAAAGTCTTTTAAAAAAAGGAGTTATAATGTACATCAAGTATTTTATCTCCCTCACGGTCCATAGTAACTACTGCTCAAATTTAGTTATAATCTCATGAAAATCAGTTACCTAAAGACTAAATTGTAAAGTTATCCTGTAATAACTTGTGTATTAATGAAAACGGGAAGGATATAGGTGCAACTAATCTTTTGAAGCATTAATCTTTGTATCTCCTCCTGCAATGTTGGTATTGTTTCTGGATTATATTATCCAGTGGTGGGGAATTTCAGGATACTCCTTTCAGCTTTTCCTACCATAATGGTCCTTACACTATGGGTCAGAGATAAGGAAATTCTGCTAGTTGCCAAAAATTCCAATTACATATTTAGGTTTTAGGGAAAGAAATAAACACAGGGTGGGTGCTTGCTGCAGCTGGGTCCAGTCTGCGTTCACTGAAGGTTGATTTTTTTTTTTTAAATCACCTCCTAAGTCTCTGCTTTGGTGGTGTGCCAGAATGATATTTTGGATCCTCAGGAATTATTGTCCTCTTAGAGACTGTCTGAATATTTCCTTTTCCCCCATGCATAGTCACTTGTAAATGACTGTACATCCTTTTATGAAGAGCCTGTAGGAAGGTTTATAGTGTGACTAGTGGTGATGATGCAAGATCCTTCCTTTGCTGAAGGAGTCCCAAGTTTGTGATATTGTTGGTTAGGCGGCTGTGATTTTCCACTGTGGTCAGTCAAATCTGAGTTTTGGTTACTGTACTTGAGGTTTCTAGTTATAGACATCAAACAAAATTCTAGTACATAGGTTGGCAAACTGAACCCTAGGCCAAATCTGGCTCTCCACCTGTTTCTGTAAATACAGCTTTAGACAAACTTAACCATATTCATTGGTTTACATTTTTTAAAAAATATTTTACTTATTTATTTGACAGAGAGCACAAGCAGAGGGAGAAGCAGACAGAGGGAGAACAGGCTCCCCGCCGAGCAAGGGAGCCTGATGCAGGGCTCAATCCCAGGACCCTGGGACCATGACCTGAGCCAAAGGCAGATGCTTAACTACTGAGCCACCCACGTGCCCCTGGTTTACATATTTTCTATGGCTTCTTTGAAACCACAGAGACAGACTTGAGTTTATATAGCACAGACGGTATTTGGCCTGCTATGCCTGCAACATACTGTATGGACTGGTAGAGCAGATTTGTTGAGCTCTGCTAGAACAGGCTGCATATCTATTTCATTGCAAGGGACCAGTTAGGCTGGGATCAGTTAGCCACTGCTAGTGATTTCTGCGGGCCAGAGCACTCTGATTCCTGTTTCATTCCCACTGCTCTTGACAGTTCACATACCTACTTTGTCTATGGCAATTAAGTGCTGCCCACTTGATTTCTGCCTCTCTGGCTTCTCATCATCCCCACTGAAATCAGGGAACTCAGTGATCGTATAGCCCCTAAAGTCGTACCTCACCTATCCTGGAGAATAACCACAGAGGCTTCTAGGATGGAGGCCATCTACTTACCTGTTTCTCTATACCCTTGTGGAGACTCTTCTGTTCCCTCAACGTAGAGTGGGGAATGGGGCTGTGTATCACACAGGATAAATCCAGTGCCACATTGCTATCTCCCTGGGATTTGCCCCTTCCCATTTTGTGGTGGAATTTCTGACATTTGAACTCATTACTGTAGGTCACCATTGAGTCTATGGTACCATCCAAGCAAGTAAGCTGTTGGAGCTTTCCCTGAGTCCATGAGGTAGTATATATTAAACCCAGACCGTCATTATAATAAGTCCCCATGTCAATGAATTTGGCCCAGTTTATTGTTATATTCCACACTTAAGGGTCTGGCACGCTTACAGTTTATTCCCCGACAGGGTACTCAGGTTTCTTCTACATATTATACTAGTTGGAACTGTTTTGTTGTACAAGCTATTTTATCTTGCATTGACTTGTATCCCTGTTACCCTGGACTATGAATTCATTATGCCACTAGAGGCAGTAGCAGGTAGTTTGGGTGGATCTTGAAGAGAAGGAGCATTTCCTTCTAAGACTTTTGCCCCAAGTGAGAGTTCTTCGGTATTTTTAAGCAGAGGAAGGCTCATCTCACAAACCAAAGGGCAGGAGACTTCCTGATGAGGGAGAGTTGGTGTCTTGTGGATTCGAGATTGTGACTTTCATCTTGGTCTGACTCAGTGTCCCCATTCGTTTTTAAATCTCATTCTTCCCTTATCAGTGCCTTAATTTTCACATGAACAACTAGTTGATATAGACACTCTAATTGTGGTTGTAATTTTACCTGTGCAGTTAAATTTCATGTTTGATTTTCAGCGGTGTCAGTCCTATGGCCACAAAAAATGTCCTTTTTGAGAGCTGTCTTGAGGCTTTGTGATTATCAGACCTTGATACGAGCATGCCATTTTCTGTGCAACTCTAGTCATAAGACTCTGTCTCTCACCACAGTCTTTGTAATCATTACTGAGGTAACAGCTAAGCCTAGCATTCACTTGGATTCCCAAGGCAAGTGTTTCTGTGTACATCTTCCGAGTGAGCCATAGCGCTCATAATGCAGCTGAGTGAGTGTCTTTCAAGGAACTCAGCATCTGGCTCCAGACAAAGACTTGATGAAATCAACCCCCACATCTTATCTACTCTGTAGATAGCATTTGGGCTGCTGTTCTCTGTTCAGTTTATTAAAGAGAGTCAATAATGTTCAACACAGGAGTTGTCCTTGAAGCTGTATCAGGTTAAAAGATAGAAGGAAGCCTTATTAAGAAAGGAATAAAAATAAAATAAAAGCTTGGTGAAAACAGAAGTTATAATAATAAGGAAGTTCTGTGAAAGATTCCTAAAAATAGATCACTGACAGGCTGATTTGGCATTGCTCCATTGCCAGGGCGAGGGGCAGTGGGCAAACTTTGATTGCTTTGAGCCTCAATCAAGACCCTTCTGTTGAATACTTGAAGAGTCTTCTGAGTTTTCTAAAATCTTTCTAGCATTATTTTTCTTAAAATTCTGGGTCCTATTTAGAACAGCCTTCCCTTTTTCTGTCATATTACCCAAGAAGCAAACCAAAATATTTGTGTATACATTTGTATTTGTGTATAGGATACTCTTTATTTTTTTCACTTATTTGAGTTTTTGCTTCATAAACGGATGTGTCCATTAATAATTGAATATCTTGTCCCTTGGGAATAATGGGCCATTAAGCCCCGGGACATTTTCTGTATATTTCACCGTTTTCTGCATAATGCCTAGGACAGGACCACAATTTCTTAATTATTTATGGAAAGAAGGAAGGAATAAGCCTATTAGATAAATGAAAAGGCGGTGCAGGGCTCCAAACCACTCTCAGCTCCATGAAGTGAAGCTCAAGGGTGTTACCAAATTAAACACTTCATTTTGCTCCTCTTCATAATACCCAGCAGTATTCTAGGCCAGTGCTGGTGAATGGAAATATAATGTGTAGGCCAAGTATATGGTAAAAGCTTTTCTGTAACTGCAATAAACAAACAAGAAGGAAATCTTATGTAATAATATACTTTATCCCATCTATTGAATATATTTCAGCATGGAACCCCATATAAGAATTGAAGTATTTTGGGGCGCCTGGGTGGCTCAGTGGGTTGGGCCGCTGCCTTCGGCTCGGGTCATGATCTCAGGGTCCTGGGATCGAGCCCCGCATCGGGCTCTCTGCTCGGCAGGGAGCCTGCTTCCTCCTCTCTCTCTGCCTGCCTCTCTGCCTGCTTGTGATCTCTGTCAAATAAATAAATAAAATCTTTAAAAAAAAAAAAAAAGAATTGAAGTATTTTAAATTCTTCTCATACTAAGTATTCAGAATTCACTGGACACAAAATTTTCATCAGATGTATTTTATGTGTTTGGATCATGTAATAAATACAGTTGAGAAAGATGTTTAAGTTTATGGAAACTTTTAAGTTTTCTAATAAACCTGCAAAAAGTTTAAAATTTAAAATTTAATTAAAAATAAATAAAATCTAAAATCCTGATTTTGCTAACTGCATATCAGTTACTCAATGGCCCATGTAGCTGCTGGCTACCAGAATGGACAAGGCAGGTCTAGAATGACGTCTGATCATATTGGGGAATAAGAACCTCAGGATCTCAAACATTTGAGAGAAGCCTGTCTGCATTCAATTGTGGATCTCTTTTTTTTCATAATTGGATAGTATCGGACCAGTGATTAGTGTTCTGTGAATCTAGCTTTATCAGCTATTAAACAGGGCAGATGATATCTACTGTAAAGGATTGTTACAACAATTAGGTGAGCTGATACACGTACAGCTCCTAGTAAGACAGATATCTGTCATATGTCTGTTGTAAGGAAATGGTAACATTACTATTACTGACTTTCATGCCAAAGGTTATAACATTTTTAGTGGATTTCCCGTATATCCTCTACTGAGAGAGAGCTAATGTATGATGTTTGATAGTGGATTAGTAATGCTTACTGATTGATGATTGATATGAATGAAAGATACTCTGGGTAACATTGTGCCAAGAGTAATGAAGACTGCCGTATTTACTCAGATTCTTAAGTTGCACTGAAGTGATCTTGGCATCCGATTTCTCACCAAACCTCATCACTCTCCCAGGATGGCAGCTGTTGATCTGAGCCATGGTAAGTCAGTGTTGATTCTCATTTTCAGACGATTCTTAAAGGTCACCCCTACACAGTATAGGGCCTGGATCTGCGTCTAGGCAGTCAGGCTGCTGGTTCACCTAGAAAGAGCTGAAATAGGCCAGAGAATGCTGTTACCTAAGTCAGCTTCCTGGTGTGTGTGCTTTGGGACTTGGTGCTGCATAATCCCATTGATGAATTTTATTATCTTGGGCAAATAAAGAATTGGATTTCCCAGGGGTTGGGTTTCCATATCTGTAAAATAAGGCGATGACCCCTTTCCTTGTGGGTGGTATGTCTAGCATGTCCCTTTTATGGCTCTGGGTGAGGGAGGGCTACTCTGATATTTTATGGCAGTAGTGTGTATTTCTGTGAGATTTCTTGAGTGTACAGGAATATATGGAAATCTCAAACTAGGATGGAATGATTTTTCAGGTAGGTGATTCTGGTCATGCTGCATTCTTTTTTTTCCTCTAGATCTTTCTAGAGATCCTTTTTATCTGCCTGAGGAAAAAACAGAGGCAGAAAGGATGGTGGCTGTCTGGCTGAAAAATTATCAACAGGTAATTAAAAAAACATATCAGTCAACGGAATACCATACTTACATCCACCAGGTGGATACATTACTTCTAGGCACATCTGTGTTTTGAGCTTCCTAAGGCAAATAAACTCTGTACAAGGACTGAATCCCCAGTTGCATTTTCCCTGGAAGTGGAAACTCATATTAAAAAGGGATTACTCTGAAAATAATCTTAGTATTTCACTAATCACCTATGAACCTCATGGATAACAGGTACATAGTTCCACCTTGCTGTGTTCTGACATGGTAAGGAGGGTGTAAGTATCTTTTTCAATGAATTTAGTCATTCTGTGCTGTTTATCAAGGATCTTTAGTGTGCTTAGAAGTCTACTGCACTGGAGGGAAATAAGAACTCCTACTCTGGTTTTTCTGAGATAAGCTTAAAAGGTGCCATTAAAGCCATATGAGTGGAGATGAGCAGTGAGTGAGTTTAGATGGGAAGAAGAGGATCGAGGACCACAGAACCGTGGGAGGATAAAGAGAAATCTCCTAGACCTGCATAGGTATTGAATCTCCTGTCCTCATTCTCCTGTGAACGTTGGTGGAGATGTTTCTTGTCTCAAGCCAACATGGGTGTGATGGATTAGATTGCAGTGACCTTCGAGGATGTGGCAGTGGACTTCACCCAGGAGGAGTGGCTATTATTGGACCTTACTCAGAGAAACCTATACAGAAATGTGATGCTGGAGAACTACCAGAACCTGGTAGCAGTAGGTAAGTCTGCCAGCATTCCAGATGTGTGTCATATACTTACTGTGTTTCCAGCCTTGGTGATGCTCTCTGAACATAATTGGAAAAAAGAGACACATAGCCCTGCACTAGCAGGTTATCGTCTGCAATGCGTGTTCTGTAAATGTGACCCTCTGTTTGGAATTTACATTCTTAGACTCCACTTCTGACATTCTGAGTTATAAAGCTGGGGTTGTCTCCCCATCTTCTGTGTTTCAGTAAGCCATCCTGCTGATTGTGATGCACTCCAGCGTTTGAGGACCACTCTTGTAGTGGTTTCCCCATCAGAATGAAGATCTTTCATCATCTTAATTTCCTATTTGAGTACCTTTATGCTCTGTAAATATGTATATACATTCAAATTTGGCTTTCAGGTGTCAAGAGATAACTTATCTCCTGTCACAGAAGGGGAGTACTTGCCTTTTTTGGTCCTTTGGGGATAATTTCATGGCTTTCATTAGAAATATAGTTCTAGAGTCATTGGAGGCTTTGTCTTCTCTTGCATGAGCCTCTCCTGTTAATGTACCTTTTCCTGTGGACAGAATATCAACTGTCGAAACCTAAACTGATCGCTTGGTTGGAACAACAAGAGTTGAGGACAGTGGAGAAGGGAGTTTTCCAAGGTGAGTGCTGTTAACAGGCCTAACTGGTCATTCTGAAGGATGGCATTTTTGCAACTTTAATGTGTAAAATTTTAAGATACATTGGTCTCAGAGGGATGAAACCATTTACCTCTGATGTTTGGGATATCTTCAGGTTCCTTCAGTCTTTTACTTAAAATTCCTATGATCTCACAAATGATCTGTTCTGATTCTTTAAGTTTATAATTTTGGTGTATCCTCCTTGTCCAGGTATTTTTCACATGTCTACTTGGTAATATATTACCTTGATAATATTTTGTTATTGTTTGACATCTTGTTTGATTTTCAGAAAATTATTTTTTAGTAAGCCACTGAAGTCTGTCCCTACACACTTATTGTCATATATTCCCCAAAAACAAACAGGTGAACGTTTTTTCTTGTTATTTCACCATTTTTAATATGAAAATATGTCTTAATTTAATGAGTCTTCATTTAAAATTGTTTAGTGGTGCCTGGGTGGTTCAGTCATTAAGCATCTGCCTTTGGCTCATATCATAATCCCAGGGTCCTGGGATTGAGCCCCACATAGGGCTCCCTGCTCAGCAGGAAGCCTGTTTCTCCCTCTTCCATTCCCCCTGCTTGTATTCTCTCTCTCTCTCGCTGTCTCTCTGTCAAATAAATCTTTTTTTTTTTTAAGATTTTATTTATTTATTTGGCAGAGAGAGAGCATAAGCAGGGAGAGCTGCAGGCAGAGGGAGGAGAAGCAGGCTCCCTGCTGAGCAGAGAGACTGACATGGGACTTGATCCCAGGACTCTGGGATGATGACCTGAGCCAAATGCAGACACTTAACTGACTGAGCCACCCGGGCGCCCAAATAAATAAGATCTTAAAAAAAAAAAAAAAAAGGAGAAAGAAAATTGTTTAGCCTATGATTTCTTCCTGCAAATATTTAAATTTGTGTTTTATTTTACTTTAGAATGGGAAACACAGCCTCAAACGAAAGGATCAGCATCTCACCAGGAATTTTTTGGAGGAAAAACAGCCATTGAAATACAGAAAGTAAGATTGATATGTGATATTTCTTATATTCCACATTCAAAAAAGATTGGTGGTCCTGTTACAAAATTCAGTGCAAGTGTGAGATACTTGAGACAAATGGCATTCACCAAAGACAGAGTAATTCGGAGATACTCTGAATATGACGACTTGGCATTTATAATCCAAATCTATCTTGAAAATTGTTGCTCTCTAGATGCCACAAGTACACATTCCCAGATATATAACTTGTCATTGAATCTTTAAACATTTTCGTGAAATTTTAATAGAATGATCTTAAGAGTAGATGGCGTCAGTTTTTGGCAGACAGTTTCTGTGGTTTAACTTGAAAGAAATCAACAGGACCTGTATTTATGTAATGAAAATGCTAAGAGTCATATCATCACCATGTTTCTTGCACTATAAGGTTGAAATTTATCAGCAGTCTGAAAATCCTGTCATCATCTTTCATCCCTTCCATCAACAGGAGAGGAACCACCATGGAGCAGAACTCTTTGACTGTGAGCAAGGTGGAAAAGTCTTGAATAAACATTTAAACCTTAAGACACACATGAGAACTCAAAATAGAGGGAACAGTTTTGAGTGTAATCAGTATCACAGTGGCCTCCTTAATCTGCAAAAGAAAAACTCTACTAGAGAGAAACTTTCTGAGTTTAATCAGTGTGGTAAAGTCTACAGGCGGACTCCACATGCAGTGTGTGAGAGAACCAGCGTGGCAGATAAGACTTTTGAATGCAGTGACTGTGGGAAAACGTTCATTAGTCGTTCACACTTTCAGGCACATAGGAGAACTCACAATGGAAGAGATTTCAGTGAATGGAAGCAATTTATAAAAACTTCAGTTTTCTCAGCAGGCCAAAAGGAGCATGTGCAGACACGGGCTGCTCACGAACCCCATGAAGGTAAACAGTGTGGGAAGTCTTATGCAGATTCCAAGTGCCTCGATAATCGTATCATTCGACTTCATGGTGGAAGAAAACCCTTTGAATGTAGTGAATGTAGGAAAGCCTTCACTACATCCTCGCGCCTTTGTGTGCATTTGAGAATTCACACTGGAGAGAAACCCTATCGATGTAAAGAATGTGGGAAACACTTCCAGTGGCCCTCACTCCTTCGGAAACATGTTCGTACTCACAGTGGCGAGAAGCCCTATCAATGTAAGGAGTGTGGGAAAGCCGTCAGTCGTTCTTCGGTTCTTAATGAACATTTGAGAATTCACACTGGAGAGAAGCCCTATCAATGTAAGGAGTGTGGGAAACACTTTGCTTGGCTGTCAGTCCTTCGGAAACATGTTCAGACTCACAGTGGTGAGAAGCCCTATAAGTGTAAGGAGTGTGGGAAAGCCCTCAGTAGTTCCTCAATTCTTAATGAACATTTGAGAATTCACACTGGAGAGAAGCCCTATCAATGTAAGGAGTGTGGGAAAGCCTTTACTAATTCCTCACGACTTAGTGTACATTTGAGAATTCACACCGGAGAGAAACCCTATCAATGTAAGGAATGTGGGAAAGCTTTTGTTTGGCCCTCGGTCCTTAAAAAACATCTGCGAACTCATAGTGGAGAGAAGCCCTTTGAATGTGGTGAATGTGAGAAAGCCTTCAGTAATCCCTCATATCTTAAGGAAAGTTTGAGACCTCATACTGGAGAGAAACCCTTTCAATGTGGTGAATGTGGGGAAGCCTTTAGGACTTTCTTGTATTTTAATAGCCATTTGAGAAATCACTCTAGAGAGTAATCCTATGAACTTAAGTACTGTGGGCTTTCACTAGTGCTCTCCTGATTTGACATTTAAGTATTCACACTGGATAGAAACCCTATTAAAGTAAGGAATATGGGAAAGGCTTCACTTGGTCTTCCAACCTCCATAAACATACACAGATTCAAAGTCAGAGTGACCCTATGACTGTTAATGGACTGTGGGAAAGCCTTCACTACTTCCCCATTTGAAGTCACAGGAGATAAACCCTATGAATGTAAACACCGAGGAAAAGCCTTCACTGTTGCCTCAACCTGTAAAATTGTAAAAATTGATACCAGAGAGCAACCCCTTGAACGTAAGGAATGTGAGAAAAGCTTCACATCGAAGTCATGACTTAACACCTTAAAACGCAGAATAGATTGAAGACTTATGTATGTGATAAGAGTGACAAGGTCTGTTATTCCAGTGCATTTCAAAAAACAAAACAACTCACATTTGAGGGAAACTATGAATATGAGGAATGTGGAAAGGTCTACAGGTGTCCCGTTGAATATGTGAAAGAACTCACTAGTTAGATGCCTATGAAGTGAAGCAGTGTGAGGAAGCAATCAGTGTCCCACAACCATGTCGGAGGAACAGTGAAGTTCAATGTAAGAGCTGTGTGGGGCCCGTTTATAGGCTGGCTTCATGGATCTATTTTGAACGTGTGCCACTCTGCCCTGACCATTTGTGGGAATGGTCTGGCTTTCTGCCCTTGATAGCAGTGCTAGTCCAGTCTAGTTTCTACTACCTGGTTTTCAGCCTGGCCCCACGTGGGACTACCACCGTGGGACTACCACCGTTAGACTTAGCGCTGTGCAGGCCACCTGGATCCTCTGGTTACACTGACCTTGTCTAATACTGTGAAGATGGTGAGCATGTGAATCAGTTAACTGCTCGTAGTCCGTCTGCAGTGCCTCATGCTGGTGAAGGGGGAGGATATAGGTCTCTAAATTTCCTGAAAATGTTCTCTCTCACACCTGCTCTTCCTGGGTTAGGAAGGACTTAAGAATTAACAGCCCTGATCTCATGCTCGCGAAAGAGCAGCACACCTGGTATTAGGTTAGAAAATACCTTTAACCTCGGGTAGAACACGGAGAGGCTGTTAACAGAATGTTCTCTTTGTTCCCAAATCACCACGGCCCGGAAGAACAGTTAGGTCCTTTGTGTTCCGAAACAGCTGCACCTGGCATGTGATGTGCTGATTCGTTTACATCACTTCAGATGCTGTGAGGTGGGAAACCTTGTGAATAGGACAGGTCCTGATACTCTTGTTATACTTGATGTCCCACTGGCAGTTCCTGCAAGTGGCCTTTGGGCAGAGACACAGAATCTATCAGAACCTTGGTTTAATTTTGAGTTAACACATTCATACACTTGTAATACTGGAGCAGCCTTTAGTTATGTCATGGGTGGCCTTGGAGGCTACAGCAGCTTACTATCACTTCCCTTCTAGCTTAATCAGATCAGTGGAATACACTCCAACCAGCCCGGTTTAGTGATAATTCCCGATCAGACGTGACCTGGATAGGGGCACCTGGGTGGTTCAGTCAGTTAAATGTCCAACTGTTAATTTCAGCTCAGGTCTCAATCTCAGGGTTGTAAATTCAAGCCCTGCATCGGGCTCCAGGCAGGGCATGGAGCCTACTTAAGAAGTGACATGGGTACATTCCTGTATGTTTGTGTTTGATTGAGATTGGGATATGAAATGAGTCTCCTGAGTATGGGTGTAGTCTTACCTGCATTGTGTGTATTGCAATATATAATACACTGGCCTTAAGTGACGTTATCTCAAAACCCACAAGTCCTAATTCCAACAATCTGATACCCTCATCAGTAACATCTGTGTGTTCCAGTAATAATGGTAGCTGACTTCTGTCTCACCAGGATCCTCTTTTCATAATCTCGGATTGTCCCCCCCTTAATGTCTTTTAAATGGGGAAACATGAAGCATTTTCCACCTGTGGGTCTCACTACTCCGTGATCTCCTTTTCCTGTGGGAGAATCCTGTGGCAGTCTAGCTCAGTTCTGCTGGAGCCATTCTAACCAGAGAAGCTTGATTACCTTAGTGACAGGCACTACGGTCACACCCATGCTGAACTCCTTCATCGACAGCCTGGGGTCCTGGGTTCTCCGCCTGGGAGAGATGATGGTCCATGATGGGATGTTGGCCTCAGAACCAAGAGGACATTGTGGGCCCCAAATGCAAATATTGTGAATTTAAGTTTTCTGGTGATTATTTTCTCATAATGGATATATTTATTTTACTCTATTCCCAAAGCACCTATGACTTGCTTCTGTTTGTCTTTGTTTCTCACCAACCTCTTCAGTAACTACTTTGTTACTTTTCTTCCCTAATTAGAGCATCAAATCTCTGGCTTGGTCAGCTTTCCTATAGCCATTCCTCAGATGTCCAACATTAGATATGAAGCACCACATCACATGTGGCATGGTTTTCTCAAAAATCATCCTCTGAAATGTTGATATTTGCATTCATTTACTTTGGTGTATTTTTCATATTAGTGGACTAAAAAGGGTACTACAGTTGTAATTGAAGCACTTGCCATAATAAAAACTGCTGTTTTATGTATATAATTTGATGGAATTCTTGGAGATACTTTCTCATTTACCCCATTTTTCATAAAAGTTTGTGATTGCAATGGATTCTACCCTGGACACAAAGACATAGTTTTGAACTTCCGGTGTGTAGGAATGTAGATTTGAGTGGTAGTTTGCTTAGGTGTTTTTATGTGGTATATAGCATAGGGTAAATCTGATATATTGCCTCATTCTTTGCTTTCTGTCCTCTTTCTTTCATTCCCCCTTTCCTTTATTATCTTTAATTGTACCTTTATTTTCCGTTATTGCCAACAAGACCCAGGTGGAAACTACTTTATCAGTGCATGACTGGTGGAGGAAAGAACACAAAAATGAATGTTTCATGGATAGAGTATTTGGGAATATGAAAACATCTGGAAATGGAGAGTGGTAATGGTTGCACAAAAACCAATGTACTTGATGCCAGCTGAATAGAACTGTACACCTAAGTGTTTAAAATGGTTAATTTTGTTACATGTATTTAAACACAATAAAAAAGTGACAAAGTGGAAAGAGATTGTGAGATTTCTTTCTGATAATATCTTTAATTCCATAATGTAATTGATGACTCTTGTTAGTTTTTAGAGAAATATTTTAATATTGGCCCTCAACAGTCTAGAACACAAAGGAATCCAGAAGGACTTCTGTCCCAACTAGTTCCTGGAGGTGGGCCTGCTCACTTTGGTCTCCCTCCTGATCTTGAAGCAGCCCACAACCCGGCTCCAGACACTGAGCCACAATGTAGGAGGAATCCTGCCCACCCAGAAGAAGTCTCGCCCTTCAGTGCCCTCTGAGGCAGGCCTGCAGAATTTGGGTCATGGATGTGGACCCTAAGTTAGCCTTGTGACTTGGCTCCAATCCCTTTCAGTTGTGGTTTGAGGCCATCTATGCCTGCCAAGTGATGTGTTATGAGCCCTACCTGTCCACATAACCAGAAAATACTACTGCTATCTTTGGACCCTGAATTGATACCTTGTCCTAGTGTCAGGATACTGACTCAGTATCCTGACAAGGTCCTGGAGTGATGTCTCTTCTGACCAGGGTGAAGACAAAGTCAATTGCTTTGGTAACAGGATTGTGTACCACAGACTCAATGCAGAGCTGACAGCAGCCAGTTCTGGTCTCAGTCCCACTTGACCATGATTCCAGAAGCAAAACCCATCACCCCAGAGACCTGACATGAGATCGTTTTTGTCCATGAAAACAGGCTATACAGTCTGAAAGAGACATTTGTTTAATTACAGAGACACAAATGACAAGCCCAGTTGCCTGCAGACACGGCCAGCAGACAGACCATTAAGTAGCCTAAGTTGAGCTGACAGATGAAGGGCTTTTCTGTACTGTGACACTAAAGACTGGAAGCGCGATTACTCGAAGGTATAGATATAAAGAGGCAATGATCACAAGAATTAGGCAAACATATCATCAATGGAAGTACCTTAAGCTGATAGGTACAATGAAGTACCTACTGTGGTAAATGTAACATTCCCAACCTTTTTATATTTACCACGAAATATTAAAACTTACAACACTACTATAATCAAAACAGATAAGAGCATAAGTGAATGCAATACTAGTGCAGGAGTTTATTGTTTAATAAAGTTGGAGTTTTGTATCTGTAGGTCAAAAATAATTTATGATTGGTACTGAATCAATTGGCCATCTTTTCTGGGGGAAAGAGGGATTGGATCCACTACTCCGCCCCATATGGTAAAATATATCCTATGAGGATTAAAGAGGTCGGTGTTTTTAAATGGATTATATTTAAGAAGTAAACTATAAAATGCGTATATAATTGAGAGTTTGAAGGGACTTTTTAAAGCAAGTTAGGAAATCCAGATACAACTTGTATTTTTTAAAATTTATTTAAAAGAGAGCCCACACGTGGGCTGGAGGAGCAGAGGGAGAGAGTCCCAAGCAGACTCTGTGCTGAGTGCAGAGCCCAACTCAGAGCTCAGTCCCACGACCCTGAGATCAGGACCTGAGCTGAGACCAAGAGCTGGATGGCCAGCCTAACTGTGCCATCCAGTTACAATTTTTAAAAATGCTTCTTTGCCTACATAAAAATCAAAGGATTTGTGCAGTAAAACATGAAACACGAATGTAGCAAAAATAGGTTATCAATTCAGTAGATGCACACAAAACATTTAATGATGCCCATGAACAAGTCTTGATAAATATGTTTTAAATCAGTGTTTTAGGGGCTCCTGGGTGGCTCAGTCATTTAATTGTCTGCCTTGGGCTCAGGTCATGCATGA